TATACAATCAATTTAATGATATATTAATTTTATCCGATGATAAATTATCTTATACTAATCAAATTGTACATAAAATAATTACTCCTAATGCTCATCCAATTAATATAAAACAATTGATACCCTATGTGTCATAACGAGGAAGTTGATAAACAATTAAAAAATCTTTTAAAGCAAGGTAGCATTGAAAAGTCAAATAGTCCATGGAACTCGTCTAGAATTCTAAATTTTATAAAGGAATATATATATATTATGTTTTGTCTGTTAATAAATATTTTTTTGATTTGTTTTATACTCTTTTTTTAGTTTCATAAAAATTATAAATTAATTGTTCAAAAAAAGAGTTATATAAAAGATTAAATAATCTGAATTATTTTTACCATGTCAGAAATATTTATTAACGATATTTTTTAAAAAGGCACTAGTATAGAATTTACTCAATACCTACAAAAAAGAATGAACCAATAAGTTAATACTTATTTGAGTCATTATGATATCTTAACTATATGCTATGTTAAGTGGAAAAAATGATACATAATAAATGTATTCGTAAAAAATTATAAAGTTATGTTTATGAATAAAATGAAATTACACCTTTCAGAAAAGCTAGATACAAAAATAGTGCTTATTATTTAAAAAAAAAATGTATAAACATGCAAAATCATGTTTGAGTATCGTATTACTGGCTTGTTAAATTAATTAGATTAGAAACATAATTTTAAGTAAAAATTAAATTAAAAGCAAAGTATCAGATATCTTATTTTAACAAATTTTAAAATTTTATATTTTTCATAATTTCTGAATGTTTAGAATTTATAATACATGATTTCAAAATAGGTTATTTTATGTATTTATGTTATTATTTATATATTAATATATTTTATTATTGTGGACTATTAGATGTGATTATTATATATCTTGACATAGTAATACAAATACAAAATAAGTATAATATAAAAGCTTTGTGATATTGGGGCACAGCTCACATGATGATTTTTATCATAAAGATTTTTCAACTCATCCTAATTACAAAGTAATTTATCTGCCACTGCTTTCTGTTTAAAATAATTTATAAAAATATTTAGAGACCAACAGTTTAGTCTTGTACTGTAATACCACATTTTATATCAAAGTCCTGTTAAGGATTCTTAGTATAGTATTAAAATAAAAAATTAAATAAAATTTCAATGAAAAATAATTACAAAGAGTTAAAATCATAAATAACCTTACATTATGTCATAAAATGCAATTAACGTGCATAACAATAACAGTTTAATTATGTGCATCATACATTCATGTAATAATTATTAAAGATATAAAATACCACGTATATTTCAACCAATAGAAGCACTCAAAATTTACGCTATCTATCAGCATAATCGCCTGCGTCCAGTGCATCGTTTCCCTGCGTCCATTCGTGATAAAAATTGGACTGCCAAAATTGTGTACGGCGTGGTCTATCTATGTGTATTTAATCTATGATGTTTAGAAGATCTATGTATATAACAAAAAGTGAACATAGGTATTCTGTTATCATTATTAATATTAATAATAATATTATTGTTATATAATATTTTTCAATGTAATCGTTCGAGCAACTTATGATAATAGAAGTTTTGAAAACCCTAGTTGGCCCATTTGGTTTTGACATCAATAATTTATGTCAGAATAATGAGTGGAGATTGATTATTGAATCTAATATAATGCTTAAATTTACTTTAATTTATTTCAACGTAAAGAACTATTATAATCTTAAAACAATTATGTAGAGTTATTATTGATTAGACTTATCTTTATTACAATAATTGTAAGTGGATTAATCTACACTTAAAGTTTGTATGATTCAGATTAAATTCTATTGGTTCAATATTATTTGCTTGATATATAAAACTTCTTTTATAAAGGCTTGAAATTTTTAGGTGACATTGGAATCATTTTTTGGGAGTATTGGTTTCGATATTTAAAGTATTTTTTTTTTATCATCATAAAATATTCAATCAGAGGTAAAATCTTTTACTATAGCTTTATGCTAAATGTGTAATGTAATGACCCTTTGATTAAGAATCTATTATATTTCTATTATAAATATTGTATATTGTATAAAAAGTTTAATCTTAATTGATTTAGTATGGCAGATCCATCTATTCAAACATTTTGTTGTCAAAGACCTTTAAATTATCATTCATCCTATAAATTGATGAATGAGTTTAATACTGATCGCTTTAATATGGTATGTTTAGTATCTTCATTAATAGGTGTTTTTGGTGCAACGTATCAGGTAATTATACTTTTATTCTGCTCTTTACCTTAAGTATCTCTTTAAGCTTTGAATTTATTACATAAATGTTGAATTTTCAATCCTCTCAAATGGACTATATAAATTATATTTATGCTTACATTAAGTGTGACAACAACCCACATATACATGTAGTGCTATCTAAAAGTTAAAAATATGGACAGCATAAAACAATTATTTTACCAAATAATTATGTTTTTTGAAATAGTGTAATACATTTTAAAGTTTTTTTTTAGCAGCCTTATATAGTGAAAAATTTGCCGACTAAACAAATTTAATACTAATTAGTTATGAGTAGAATCTAACTAATCAATATTATTTAAACTCCAGTAACATCTTCTGGGGATAATCTGGTTACTTTGAGTTTTTCTTATATTACTTATGATCATTTTAATTTACCATTAAATAATTTTTTTTATGTCTTGTGATATTTTTTAAAATTGTTTATTCAATTATTTTTACATATTACTTTAATATTCACTTTTTAAATTAAATTTTTAAATATTTTTATTATTAATTTTCTCTAAAAATAAATTGTAGTAAATTTATTGCTAGCTTAAATTTATATTTGAATCTATTTATAGTTTTTTTTTTAATTATTGGTTAGCTTTTACCTAGAATGGAAATATCAACTGTACCTAATCGATTTTACTCAAGTATTATGCAAAGAGGAAAATATATAGTTATGTGGTTGGCTTTTGCAGATTGTAGTGCTTCGTTAGGTAATATAATTTTATTTTAAAAGTATAATTTAAATATTAATATAAGGATACATACACCTCTATGGCATATTAAAAAAAACTTTTGGTGCTATGAGAAAACTTTTTAATGATTAATAAAAAGGGTTATTTTTATAAAGTTTCTCTACTTCTTATTACAAAATCGAATTAATAGATTACCTTATATACACTCAAATTCAGCAGTATACAAAGCAGTATGTATACAATTTTAACAAAAGAGAAAAATAAGAAAATTTAAATTAATTTTGACAAAATTTATTTGTGTCTATTATAAATTTAAAAGTAGAGGGTAAATGGCACATTAACCAAGTTTTAGCAATATTGTTTCATATATCATAAAAAATCAAAAATAATATTGAAGTTTTAAATAATTTTCTATATCTGAATTATCTCTAGAAGTTGTTAAGGAAATAAAAGTTTATTTTTCAAAACTTTTTTGAGATTTAAAAAAACTATATGACATGTCAATTTTAAAACTTATTCAAGTTTAAAGAATAGAAACATTGCCTTTTATGATATGTTATTATTTATTTTTTGAAATCTCATTTTAATGTAATTTTTTTAATTTAGAGCATCATGGTTTTTATAATAAATTATTAATATTATTTACATTTTTTTTTTACAATTTGTAGGTATTCTATTAAGATCTTCTCTAAAATTAATGCATCATTATCAATGGTATGATGATCAGCCATACACACTTATGTGTGTACTTTTAGCAGTGAGAAAATTATTTATTACAATTCTATAATATATTATTAATGTATCTTTATTGTTTGATTAACTGATCAACTAATTTTAATATTTTTTTCAAATAACATTACTTACAGGTTATGAGGTGACCATGTAGTACATCCCCTTACCTAGCAAAATTGTTTAAATTAGTTTAATCTGCAATTTTGACAATTTACATTATAGATTGAAAACCTTTTCTTTATTATTTTGCTCATTAAATTTTTGTAATAGTGGTCAGCCTGAATGTTGTAGAAATGAATGTTTTCGGTGCACAGGGTCTCAATTTTAATCCTAGGGTGCCAATGAGATTTGTGAATTTTTCATTGGTGGTGTCTAGTCTTTGATGCAAGCTAGTCCCTCTGTAGCATGTTAAGTTTGGAAAATAGAAGGATGTAGAATTAATTATCATAAAATTTCGTAATTAGCATTAAGTTACCAAATTTTTGTATGATAACCCCTAAACATTAGAATTCTGGCTCTGATCACATTAAATTTAAAATTCTGAATAAATTTGCATTGTTTTAAAATGAGAATTCTATTTTCTCAAGCATTTCTACTGTAACTTATTAGATGAATTTAGATAATTGTATAAAAAATGTTTTTTTTTACTTACTTTAATTTAATTAATATTAATTAGTGTTATAATATACTTATCTCTGTTTTCTTTAATATTATAAAATAGGGTTGGATTCAATATTTTTGTATGGTTACTTGGGTTTGGACACTGTTGTATGCTGTAGACATGTGGAGGGCATTTCAAGATAAATACCATTTAAGAAAAATTTATCACTTAATTGCATGGCTATTTCCAGCAGTTTTTACTTTTTTTGGTCTATCATTATTGTATAATCCTAATACTAAGTATGGTATACAATTTTTGAGCATGTCTATTTTACTTATCAATTTTTTTAAATTTAAATTAGTTGCTACAATATGAGTCCAAGTGAGAATGCTGTATTGAAATTTTTTCCAAATTACTTGTTAACTTTTATACCTATTATTTCTGTTATGATTGCTAATCCTATTTTATATGGATTCTCCACTAAGTATATATATCATATTATTACATCATATATGGCACAATATTCAACTAAAGAACGAAAAATTCTTGACTTATTCAAGACGAGGTTCTTCTTTATGAATCTTGGATTTTACTTATGTTGGGGTCCAAATCTCATCAATGCCATCATTGTGTGGACTTCATGGGATAATTTGCCTGCAGGATTAATGCTAACACTTTGGTATTTAATGGTATGTAAACAGGTTTATATCACAGTAATTAATCATTACTTAAGTGAACTTAAATTTTAAGGCATTTTTAAATCCAATGCAAGCATTTTTCAATACGATCCTTTACAATATGCTGGAGCACATTGAAAACTTAAATTGTAAACCTTTCCCAAAAAATAAACGTGTTCAAGAAGTACTAGAACGAAGACCATTGCTATTAGCAAATGTTAAAGGATCATCAAATTCTCATGGATATGACATAATTGATTAAGTAATTTATATAAAATTTAAGAAAAAAGAATTTTTTTTTTTTTAATAGATTACAAAAATTGTGATAGAATTTGGTGTTAAATACTATAAATCTTTGAAGCCTTTATTTTTTTTATTAAATGTTAAATGTTTTTCTTTATAGCCAAATATTACTAATTGGTGAAGTTGTCTCATGTATGTTATGCAACGTTTTTTGTTTATTGAAATTTAATTATATTGTATGTTGAATTTATTACAAATATTTAATAGTCAGACATTCTAAGTGTTATGTAATTTATTGTATGGTTCATCAAGACTGACTTAATTAATTTTATAACTTGTTTATACTTTTTCTAAATGTAGATACTTTGATATACTTAGTCATATATGTTTTATTTTTTGGATTAAGTCATATTTTATATACTTAAAACAAAAACATTAATCTAAGTCCACATAATTGTAACAAAAATTGATATTATTTTAATACTTAGTTTTAAATCTCAAAATTTTGAAAATTATATATTTTTAAGAAAAATTTTATGTTAATAAACTGAGGATAATTAGCTGAACTTGAAAATTTCTTTGGTTATATGAATACATTATTACAATAAATTTAAATACTGAATAATATGTTGAACTTTTGTAGTAATAATCAATGTTTTTAAAGATGTAACTTTATTTAATACATGAAAAGTTCTTGGAAAAATACAATATTAATTTACAAGATTATTGTGTTATTTACTGCCAAGTGTTGAAAATGTCAAAAGTAAACTTAAACAGACTCATGTCTTGGAAGTAATACAAACAAATTTCACAAATAAATAAAAAAATTGACTCTATGATAAATACATAATTTATGAATTAGAAGTAAACTAAATTAAACTGGGAGATTACATCTTAAAATTTTAGTGTTATACTAAGATTAATCATCATATTAATATATTGAAATATTAAAATTAATAATATATAAAGCAGTATAAAAAATATTTTTCTTGTCAGATAAATATTTTTAAAAGAAAACACACATTAAAAAAGTTCATACAAATAGAAGTATAATAACATACAACACGAGAGATCAATAAAAAATTTACCTATGCCATGCTAATAACATTCTGATATACCAGTTAAAAAAGTAAATAAGTTCAAAATTTTAATTTATATTAGTGAGCTTGAGTTTTTTAATTTTTAATTTCTACAATAAAAATATTCTCATGCTTGTCACATTAACTAATCTTTATTAATTATCAATGTAATTTTGTAATTAAAAAATACCACGTCCCTAAAATTGTATTAATCTTGTATGCACTTTACTAGTGTATCAAACTGTCACTAATGAATATCAATTTATAACAATGCATAAAACTAAACTATAATTAAAAAGAAACATACTAAACATGAATTATAGTAAAAAAAAAAACTAAACATATTGAGTATAAATTAAACAATTGTATACAAAAAGTTATCTTATTTACTAATTTATAATAATGCTATACTTTTAAAAGTCTTGCTAAAAAAAGAAACAATAAATGATTCATATTATACAAAATACAATTGAATAGGTTAAAGTAATCCATATTGTGGTGCATACAAATTGTAATAATTAATTAAGTTAAGATTAATAAATCTAATTATTTGGTTTATTCATATCTAATAAATATTATTGAAAATGAATGTTTGTTCTAAAAAACTCGTATTCATATAAAATTTAAAAAAAATGTTGGGTTTCAAAAAAATGTTACTAAATTAATTTTTTTTGTGAAAACATTTTTTTATTAAAAATACTAAACAAATTAATATTTAATACTATCTATACTCCATCGTTCAAGAAGTACATAAGGATTTTTTAATTCTTTTTCAGAATCATTAGCTGATTGATTAATTCTGAAAAATAGTTAATAATTAAATATGCATAACCATAATATCTATCACTAAGGTTCTTAATTTTTTTTTACACAATTATCATTAAATCAAAGTAGCAATTTTATTTATATTTTATTATGTTCATTTTTTATAGTATCAGTACACTCTTGCTGAGACATCTCACACTAATATATTTTCAGCTTAAGCACTCACTCACATAACACAAGTCCTTTGATTTGGACACAAAAAAAATTATCTCGAGATCGAAATGAGGTAATAAGAGAGCATCTAAATACATTCTTGCAGTATCTCTGTGAGAATGTAATGCTGACATAAGATATATCNAACAATACAGTATCTCTGTGAGAATGTAATGCTGACATAAGATATATCTTTATCAAATACTAGTACATAATAAGGAATTCAGTACGTTTTNTTGCAGTATCTCTGTGAGAATGTAATGCTGACATAAGATATATCTTTATCAAATACTAGTACATAATAAGGAATTCAGTACGTTTTGAATATGCAAAACCACATAACTTACACTTTTTTAAAAATAAGGTTACCTTTAAATATCTTTACAGTTTTTTAGTACTATACTATTACTTAAGTTTTTAAATAAAGAATTTCAGATACAGTTGGATATTGCAAACAAATCTATGATATATTTTTTAGGTAAAAATATCATATAAATTGAATAAATAAATACATTTGAAAAAATAAAATACTACTTTAAATATCAAATTATAGCAAATCAAAAGTTTTAATAGAATTAATTTGATTTTTTAAACATGTGTTTGCATTTAATTTATAAATTTACATATTTATAAGGAAAATGTTTTGCTTAAGTTCTTTAATATAGATTCTGGATGAAACTTGAATCCAACCCCAACAGACTAATTCAATTGCTGAGCGCAAACGCCTTGCCCGGCAATCCAGTAAGGCATCTCAAGAGAGAATGATGCAAAGATCTATTATCTTTATAAATTATTTAATCTTGTTAACGTTACGTAATTAAAACTCCTAATTATTGTACAAACTACTATACCATTAAATATTGTTATTATTATTATTATTATTGTTAATATTATGTAATTAAATTAAATATAAATTTTCAATAGCAGGCGACTCCAATGGGAGCGACCTCACAGGCTACTAATGTTAAGTATTTTATATATGTATATTTTCTAAACTATTTACTTATTGTAAAATTATTTTTTTTTTTTACAGATTGTAAATTTCATAAATAAAAAAAAAAAAAGTTCAATATAACTCAACATATTCAATTTACTGAAGTAGTGGCTTTAACATTTAATTTTTAATATTAAAACCAAGGACAATTTTTATCAGTTTTACAACATATTTTTATATTACAAAATTCTAAAATGTTGTAGTTATATATTAATACACACCATAAAATTTTGATCAATTAGAAATAGTGGGCTTAATATAAAAAAAGATAATCAATTATAAGATAACATCCAAGATATACATTTTTTTTAGCTTCGATGCGAAGCTAAGAAGGTATTGGTTTTACTATGATGTTTTTTTTTATTTATTTTTTTTTGTGTCTGTTACCACTTTTTCTCAGCTCTCACCGAATGTAAAAAAATTACAAATTTAAAAATCGCTAATTTTCGAAATTTTTTCAATTTTTTTTACTAAAAACTGCCATAACTTTTTCAAAAATGAACATATTAATATAGTTTTTTTTTTATAGATGCTTGATGTCTTTATCTATCATTTGGTATATTTTTCATAAATTTAACCCTTAACCTGCCCACAAGGGGTGATTTAAAATGACAACTTTTTCACAAAAAATTAATTATTTCAACTTAACTTTTAAAAGTGTTCTGGAAGGTCTGACACTTTTATATATATCTTAAATTAAAGCTAATGTAATGTACTTTATTATGGAAAAAAAAATTTGACTTCTGGACTTGTCTTCGTGGTGAAAATGGCTACCGAATGCTATTTTTGTGTAAAAATTCTCGATATTATATTTTACATTTTTAACTTTATAATGCTATAACTTATTGAAAAGTGTATGGATCAACACAATATTTTTATGAGAAATAATATTTTTAATAATCCCTTTTTCATTTAGGATATAAATAAAGAAATAGCAGATCATGTAGCTTTTGGAATAATCCACCAATTTTTAAAATTAAACACTATCTAAAGATTTGCATCAAAGCATTTTTTATGATAGTGATTTTAATCACTGTCAGATATCATTATACTTGATCCAACTCTGCCATGTCACCATTGTGCCACGACCCCCTTGTGCTGGGTTTTTTAAATATAAATTTATAGACAGTAAAATGGTTAGTACTGTTATTATTATCAATTTTTTCAAAAAGAAACCGAAAAACAAAAAAATGGAATAGATGTATAATCAAATATATAGTGAAATAAAGGGAATAATACTTTTCCTAATTGTTATAGCATTATACTTAAAATTAACTTATAAAATTATATAGAAAAAAACATAGAATTTATTCAACACTTTTTAGTGAGTTAATAAATTTTAACAAATATTTACTCACAAAATATTTTCTTCATTTTGCCTTTCACTAGATTTTACTTTTGTACATGAATCATTTGTTATAAGGTTATCTTCTCTTTCTTTTTTTGTTCTAAATTAAAATTATTAATTAAAAATATGTGTATATTTACGTATATATAGATGGATCTTACAAATATCCATTTATGTCGTTCATACTCCAACGTTCCAATAGAACATACGGATTTTTTATTTCTTCAAGGGAGCAATTAGTTATTAAATTCATTCTAATCTGAATAAACCAATCTAAAAAAGTACTGTAGTTAACTAACAGACAATAAAATATAATAGGTTTTATTCCTAAAACTTAATTTCTTCAAGGTACTGGCATTGGTATATGGAAAATGATAAGAGATATGAAAGCAAATATAATGATGAGTCTTAGGTTCACACGGCCATAAGTTCTCAGCGTATCACAGCTCTCAGGGTAACAAGCTGGTTAACAACTCTTGTGGCATTAACAAAAAAATACCACTATAGATGGTGAGATTTCATATGACAAAAGGAAATATAAACAAAAATATTGATTATTACTATTATATTTGGGTAACAGATAAGACTTCCATCAACTTTAGTTGATGAATGGTTGGGAACATATGACCGAACACGAAATATAACATTTTTTAAATTAAGAATTAAAAATAGATATTCATGTAAATCTATTATATATTATTAAATATCATATTGTATTGAACAACATGTTTAGAAAATAATAATTATGAAAAGTATTTCTTAATAGGACTTTGAAGTCATTTGGCATATAGTTTGATGACCGTCATATCGCAAATTAAACGAAACCAAATAAAAACAAGAAGGAATTTGAGACTAGAACGATGAAGTCGTAAATAATATACTCTAACTAGGAGCCCTTAAAGTGATATATTAAATTACAATAGTTAAATTTATTTTATGCTTCATTTACAATATATTTGTCACACTGACCGTCAGTTATCAATGTAACATTATCAACCGTTAATAAATCATTATTATGTATGTTTTATTTACTTCATTTTAAAGTTAATATAAGTTAATTAATTATACTAAAGTTATTCATGTATAATTTAAATTACAAATTATTATTAAAAATATATTTAGTTTGTTTAAAATAACATAAAATTCATATTATACAACAACAAAAAAGTTAGATTTCAACATGTGGCAGCACCACTTTTAAGACATTATTAAACGTTTTTTTTCAAACCACTAATGAGTATACAATCTTGTTTTATTGTCGATTCGACATGTCTAAGTGTAGTGTCCTCAAATTAAGAGCCGCCCCGGAGTTACAAATATAGAAGGGGTTATAATATGATTAAGAGGATTACATTTTTTTATGTAAAATATTTTATAATGTTTTATATATTAAAACAAAAACCTAGCATAGTAAAGAGGGACGCCACTTAGTTAAGACAAGTATAAATGATATCTAACAGTGATTAAAATCACAATCATAGGAATATTTCGATACATTTCTATAGATAATTTTTAGAAGGAATTGTTGGATTTTTCCAAAATCATATTAAGAAATAAAAAGCAGATAAATAACCTTGACCTACTAAGTCAAAACTATCAATAGTAGAGTAGTGTATAATGAAACAAAGCACATTATGATTGTGGCAGATATAATGCATTAAAATTAGAAACAATTAATAATAGAGTAACGAGGCAGGTGATAGAATATTATAAAATTGGCTGTTTAAGATTCAATAAAAAGTTGAGGCATAAGAGTGAAACTAAAAATATGTTAAGTCATGAATTACTTAATCAACCTAGTAATAAAATAGCTATGCATATTGCAGAACATGCTGGTGTGTCTTATTTGATAATTTTCGATTACTACTCAAATCTATCTATAATACTAAATCTAAGTTTTTAAATTACAATATAAAACTGCTGTGAGCATAATAGAAATACTTAAAAATGTGGTAAGTAAATTAGAGATACTAAGATACACAGTTTCAGATAACATGCCCTTTAATAGCTATAATTTTATAAAATTCGCTAAGGTCTTAAAAGTATTACATTAATCTCTAATTATCCAAAATATAATGATTTTACAAAAAAAGGAATTCATATTGTTAAAAAAATGCTTAAGAAAGCACGGTATATTAATATACTTATATAATTATACTTAATAAATTATGTAAAACTATGGAAATAATCCAATAACTGATAATGCTTATACTGAGTTACTAAACAAAAGAAATTAATAAATAAAAAAGCGACAAAAAATGAAATAAATTTTGGAGGAGAGAGATGTGTCAATATAAATTTACAAAAACCTAGGATAAAGCAATAATTAAAAAATTAAATGAACCAAGATTTTATTTGGTTAAAATAAAAAATAAATAAAATATAATAAAATAAATACAAAAATCTAATAAAAAGATATAGGGATGTTATTGATGATATAATTGTTAATAATGAAACTAATAATAATGTTGATAATATGCCAATTAATAATAATTATATAAATGTATATGTTGTAATCGCTATAACTGAGGTTATGACTTTCAAAACTTATTTTTGAAAGTGTCGTGAACAATGATGACACTAATTTAGAACCAGTAATTAATAAATGCCTAATAATATTATACGCAGGGAAGGTATGAAAAGTGTTATCAACTTTTACGTTTAACGTTATTTTGAAATAACGTTATTATGTTATTGTGATATTAGTTATTAATTATTAGTAAAGTAACGGTTATCAACTTTTTTGTTTAAACGGTATCAAATCTTTTCGCCGATTTTATTCTGTGACAGTACATAGGTAAATATATCTTGTAAATTTTAGTCATAGAGTAATACTCTATGATTTTAGTCTGCATAGATCAGCATTTTAACAGGCAGTCTGCTACAGCTGCTCTATCTGTTAAGGGAATATTTTTGTACAGTGTTATCTTACATTCTTACTTACATGTCTGGTTATATTAAGGTGTCATGACTGTCATGGTGTATAACAATCTAATGGAGTGGTATATTCACCAATCAACATTTTTTTATTGTATTTTAAATTAAGTTTTGAAAATATAATTTATTTTGATTATTTGACGTTATTTTATGAATAAAAGTTAGTCCGTTATCAGGAATAAATCGCTTAAGGTTTTTTTAATAACGTTATCACAATTGAGCATTATATTTCATTATTTCATAGCGTAATAACGTTGTAATGATTTAGTTACCATTTATGACGCAGCTCATTTACGTTGTATGATCACTTTATGTATAAAAATGTTTGTAAGGCAATCATTTTTTGTCTATTAATTGTTGTTGACTTAATGATCATTTTTTCGAGAGAGTCTTAAAAACTGGCTGTTTTAAAATTTTGAAAATATTAAAAATTATTAAAACTAATAATAAAAACTATGATTTTAATGTAGTCTAAAAATATGTTAAATTAATTAAAAAAAAAGAATTTGTAGTGTCAATGATGTCAAAAGTTACAATAATTGTCAATTACGTTTCTTTATAATATGTGTCCGAGGTGTATAAATGTTGCTAATTATATTAACAATTACTGTTTTGTAATTGATCAGTTATCATAATAACAAATTGAAATTTTCAAATTATTTGGTTGGGGATATTCATTCGATACGACTTAATTCAAAGTTTAGTAGATTTGGTAAATGGAATGTACTTAAAGTTATTCCAGGTTATTTTAAAGACTCCTTAGTGTATTACGTACATATGAATAATTCACTTTGCTACAATGTCTGCTAACATGAGCACTCGTGACAAACTTTTTGGATTGCTTGATGATTTTGAGCTTTTAAGCAGGTAACGTTAAATAAGTTTTCTCAGTGCATGTTTATTTTTCTTTATTGGTACTGATTAGCATAATACTGAATATATGTTTTATGTCAAAATAAAACCTTTTTATATATGAATCATTTATTAAAATTATCTTATTAGTTGGCCTTAATTAATACTTGGTAAGATTATAATTCATATATCTACTATATTTTAGAGAACTTATTGAAAATTTGAGTGGTGCTCGCCAACAAAAAGTAAATGTACAACATCAATTGCTGCTCACTGAACAACTTGTATCAACTGATAATGAAATAAAAGCAACTCTTAAAGTGGCTGAAAACCAAGCTGAAGTAGAAAAAAATGTTTATGCTATTAAATCAGAAATAGAAACACAAGATCTACATATTACACAAATGCAAAAGCATTTTAAAGAAGCTGAAAACATTTTGGTACTATAGATTTAACTGATCTTGCATCATTTTTTAAAATTGTAATATGGTTTATTTAGGCGACTGCTTTGTTTCAAGCTAAACAAAAATTACAGTCTATAAATAAAGCTAGTAAGCATCCAGTGTCTTCAGAAGATCTCATTAAATATGCTCATAGAATAAGTGCTTCGAATGCCGTTTGTGCCCCACTTACATGGCAACCAGGCGATGCTCGTAGGCCTTATCCCACTGGTAAAAATATTATTTTAATTAAAAATTTAATTTACATTTGAAAATTTAAAAATTTTATAGATATTGAAATGCGAATGGGATTTTTGGGTAGACTAAGTGATTTACCACATAACGGACATGTAATGCAACCCCAGGGATTAACAGACATAGTACGATCTTCCAATCAAATGGGTAATTTTATTAAGTTATTAATTTGTTCAATCTCATTTTGTCAATTTTTGAGATAAGTTCTATTTTTCATAAGAAGGAAAATATTATTTATTAGTTACTAACTCATATATTAATGACCAAATAATTAACTTGTATTTTCTTTTTATTATTTTGTCTGGTATAATTGTCATATGTGCTGTGCCCCAGGATAGTCATTTGTTATTAATTATAATATTTATAAATGATTTTAGCAATATCTTTTTGTATTTGTGATTCCTTGTTCTTGCTGATGATGTTAAAATTTATTTTAAATCTATTTAAATATTATTAATTATTATTAATTCTATTGAGAACTCATTTAAGTTGGAAATTGATTTGGATAGATTTCATACTTAGTGTAAAAACAAGTCTACTTGTTATTAATGCATTAAAACATTCCCAAATATTGTTTACATAAAGTAGGTTATTTTTCACTTTTTTTTGTATAATATTAATGAATAATGTAAATCAAACTAAAGATTTAAAAATTTGGGTGTAGTTTAATGATTTGATTTATCATGTTCTGACCAAATCAAACTTATGTATTATAAAATATTATAAGTTTTTGGTTTGCTCAAAAAAAATGGTTGGGAATTTAGTAATGTATCATGTTCATATGTTTAATATTTTGTACTTATTAAATCTATTCTTAAATTTATATTTTATTTTATGATCTTTATACTAGTCTGAATTAAGTAATAAAAGGTGGAAAGTCTACAAACTCGGTTTTTAGGTATCAGTATTACGATAAAGAACTTCATACAAAAGAGCTTGTGAATAGTAGACAAGATATTAATATATGTTGGACTTATAAACTATTAAATAATGTAATTGACTATCCAGGATTTTTATACTCTATTAAAATAAAGTCTCGATAGGTTAATTGTGGTGCTCTCCGCTTTTTGAAACTCCCTTTTGTTATCTCAATTACAGTAACTTAACCATTGACTTGGTTCAACAAACCAAATGATTTGATCATGTAAATCTCATATTTCAAATAGAAACTATTAAAAATTTAAAATTCTCAAAAGTAAATTATAGTTTGAATCAAAAACTCAACTACGGTATGGTACAAAACTACGATGATTTTCTTATCATAAACTACTTCATTAATCAAAAAATAAAAATCATTTTAACAATTTTATTATTGGTTTTTTTTAGTTTAATATTTCTCACATTTTTCAATCATAAAGTTTTTTTGTCCCTTATATATGTTCATCCCTTGTAGCGATGTTAGCTTTAATTTTTCAAATGACAACATACATTATAAATTAGCTTTTTTATTAGATAATGATTTAATTAAGAAAATTATTGGTCAATAACAGCTTTTCAACCAGTATTTTGAATGTTATTGACAATTTACAGTAATGATTATGGTGAAGAGTAGGTGCTACTATTTTTATACCTAAACATCCAGCTGTACTTTTCCATCTAGATATAAAAATTTCAATAACTTCCGAAATACTGTTCCAAAGTTGTCATTTTCTTAATTATATCATTATTTATTAAACAAACTAATTAATTAGGGATGTTGCTTATTGAGAAAAATGAACACCCTTAGAATGTATACAGGATAAACATAAAAAAAACTTAATGATTGAAAAATTGATAGAAGCATTGTACTAAAAGAGACAAATAAAAAAATTATTATTATTTTTATATTTTGATTAATTAAGTGGTTTATGATAAGTATATATATATATAATATATATTTTTGTCATCTTTTCAGGCATTAAAATCCTAAATTTTAATTTTACTTAATAGATATTTTGTGTTTAATGATGAAAGATAATTACAAAATTCTTTTTTTACTTGACATACCATTCTCCTGTTTTAGAATGTTTAAGTTAGGAGATTTTTGAACATATTTCAATTTATAATTTGCTTTTTAGCATAAAATAGTTGACATTTTTTATAGGTAGAACTATATTTTCCATTATACAGAAATCTTATCTTTAATAATTTACGTCTATTAATAGATGTATATTATTATATTCAACATAAATTTACTATTGTACATTGTTGAACGACCAGTATGGATAAATTTTTATGATAACTATCATAAAAATAATTCATGACCTATTGAAACAGATTATTGTAGCCTTAGTTGTTATAAAAAAAAAATAATGATTAATTTGTATTTTGTATCTAAATGTTTAAACAATTTTAAAATGTAAATAGTTGATGATCGGATAAGAATAATTATATGAATTCATTTTTTTTTTATTATCTCATTTAACTAAAAATACCAGTTTTAATTAATTAATTATTTCTGAATGGATGAAAAAAAATGATTTAACAACGTATTATTGTNCTGGTACTGTAAACCATATTGAATATTGATAGTTTGACCTTAGTCATTTTAGTCATAATATTAAGAAAGTCTATAAAACACAAATCTTAATCTGAGTCAACTGATGTTATTAAAAAGGTATTAATTAAAACTGTATTCTTCGGTAAAATGGTAATCAGTTCTTCAATATTATTTTATTTCAATGAAATTTGTATTGTATTATTTTTTAAGATCGACAAACATCCCAACAAAATCAATTTGCCTGGCATTCTTCTGGTGACATGCATCTAGGAGTAAGTGGAGGTGTTATTGATACTAGGAATCATTCAAAAGATGTTTCTGAAGATGTAGAGGTTATGTCAACGGATAGCAGCAGTTCATCATCTAGTGATTCTCAGTAATTAATAGTGTAAGGCAGTTAAAAAAAAAAGTTTTTTTAAGTTATTAATATAAAAACATTTTTTTTTAAATCTTATTTGTACTGACTGAGCACTTACTTAATTATTCATAAAATATGTAATTTTATGTAAAAATAAATAAATATAAAAATTATGTAATATGTGATTACATTTTTACAATATATTGAACTTAAAGTAGCTCATAAATCTGTTACATTAGGGTTAGTATAAGTGAACCCATCAAATTGGGATTGATCCATTGATTCTAGAATCGTTTTGTCAACAGGTGTCAGTCTCGGTTTCTCTTTAGTAAAGTGTTTATCAAAGTAATGTGTATCCAGTGGATGATACTAAAAGGAAATAATTTTTATTTAAAACAATTTGATAGTTGTTATATATATATATATATATATATATGATTATTATATTTAATTGAAAGTTAATACTTACGACTTTGGGCATATAAGGAGGTTCTAACTCTCTTCTCTCTAATTTACCCCAATCTAATGAACTGAAAAATGGGTGTCGCATTACATCCTCGGCTGAGTGATTAGATTCCAAGGAACCAAGGCGCTTATTAGTATCTTTATCTAATAACTTAAGTTTACATAACAAAGTGATTGTAATACATAACAAAGTCATTTTTAAATAATAACATATTGGATTATACTTACTGCAACTAATACAGATTTTGCATTAGCTGATAAATATCTGGGATATTGAGGTTGCTCATTGCATATTGACCAAAACAAAGCATCCTCATCACAACCACTAAATGGCGATTTACCAACTAACATTTCATATAAGAGAATGCCAAAAGACCACCAGTCTACACTTTGGTTATACTTCAGACCCTTAATTATCTAAAACATAAAAAATGGTAAAATATAAAAAATGACATAATCCGTATGTACTTGCCTCTGGAGCCATGTAATCAGGAGTACCACAAAAAGTATCTGCTGTTTTATCTAAATATATTTGTAACTTGCACATTCCGAAATCAGCAATTCTTACATGACCATTAAAATCTAATAGTATATTGTCCAATTTTAAGTCCCTATTATAATATACAACCTTATTATTTTTAAAATTATTTAAAAAAGATTCATATAAGTTAAAAAAATATACCTGTATACAATTCCTTTTTTATGAAGAAACTTAAGTCCTGATACTATTTCAGAAGCATAAAAACGTGCACGACCCTCGTCAAAACGTCCAGATTGTTGAATGTGAAACATAAGATCGCCACCATTTAAATATTCCATTACAAAAAATAAATGAGACTAAAATAAAAATTTATAAATAATAGAGAAAAATGTTTTTACATAAATTTATACATTTTGTTTAAGCCATTTTAGGCAATTATTATTTTGAAGATTATTTTATATTGTTATCATATGTTAGCTACCCGTCGTTTATTTATACTTTATTATTCTAGCCCTCTAAAAATTTTACTTTATGTCTACCAATGAAGTGTATACAAAAAAGACGTCATGATAAAACACGTTTTTTAACAATTTCACTATATAATGATCCTTTATTTTTGTTTAATCACAATTTTACTTATAAGCGATGATTGAATAAAGCAACATGTACTCCACCGACATTGACAAAACTGTAGTCTCAACCCATTGATTGTCTTAATCTTTTATTTTTAAATCATATTTTTATACTTAGAATTCATACCTTTTTCGGAGGTTATAGTTAAAGTAATCCGAAAGTTTTAGAAAAAAAAACATCAAAGACTAAGTTCAATTGAAGCTAAAATTTTTTTTAAATAAAAACTAATGATTAAATCATATGATACTTTAGGTTGCTTTTACTGTTCTTCCATCTGATCTTAATAGTAAATCTTTTTGCTATTTTATACAAAATTTTTTTAATGTTAGCACAATTGAAATTTATGACGCTTTCTCCTAATTATCTAAGATATACTTATTTTATACATGATTGAAATTTTTGGATACATTTTACTAATTAATCCTTGTTAATTGTACACATTTTTAAAGTATAACAAAACTACTAAAAAATTTAATTTATTTATAATATGCTGTCAATCCTAGGACATACCTTTTTGAACATATTCCTATTCTTTCTGGCCTTAATATAGTACGTTATAATAGTCTTATTACAAAACCAATTAATTCTCTATAACGCTTCTGATTAAGTTAACGGATTAACCGATGATAAAATAGGTCCAAGAAAAAAATAAAAACCCATGAATAATTAATAATGAATATCTATGTTAAATAATTTTAACTTCTTATTGAAATAATTTTAAGTTTTCATGCTATATTATACAGCATAAAAATTTATAAAATGCATAAATTATGTATAATAGACCTAGTTTATACAAAATGAAAAATTAAGCTTCTATATAAACAACAAATAGTTAGAGCTGTATTAAAAATTAACTTATTTTTATTTTAACTTTGTTTTAATTTTTAAATTAACATTGTCCTAAACAACGCTATAGTTCATAAAAGCATTATAAGTTTTAAATTAATAGTTTAGTGTAGTTTAATGTAAATAATGTAGAGACAAACCTCAGTTTGAAATGTACAAAACAAATGACATAAATATGGATGATTTGTACCCAAAGCGAGGACTTTGCGTTCGATAAGTGTGCACTCAACATCGTCGTCTTCAAGAACAACATCTTTCTTTAAACACTTCACAGCATAGAAGTAATCAGTCCCTTTAAGTTCAGCCAACAGTACCTAAACATTTAATAACCAGTAGACTTATAGTTATCACAAGTAGGAAATGTTGAATATGCTCCAAGAAAATTATTAATTTATAGGTAACCCCCTATAAAATTTGTTTATTATAATATATTTTAGATCTAGTACCAGATATCAAATATTTTAAAATTACCACCATAATAAAGTTATTAAAATGTGATCCGTGCTCTTACAAATTTGTGTAAATATTTAATTTGCAATTATTTGTGTTTTATAAAATTGTAATTATTTATAATAATTAATTTTTAAGTAAGAAACTTAGATATGCCTAGTCCTTAGAAAAAATTTCTGCTTCTAATCCTCTAAATCAAATTAGTAAGAATAGAAACAAGGTTTAAAAGGTTTGATCGGGTTAATAACTTCTCTATGATTAAATTAAACTAAACGTAAAATTACCTTTCCAAAACTACCTTTACCCAATACTTTTAGGAAGTTAAAATCGTCAATTGTGTATTTTCTGAATCTCGGAATGCTCGTAGCTGGTGGAACCACCTTTTTAGGTCTTGAATGATGCCTATAACTATAAGAACGAACAGTACGTTCTGCACTACTAACACTATTACCACCGATCTGGTATGAATTAACAGCTGTATCAGACGATGAAGATGAATCTATTTAAAATAAAATGAAACAAACAATAATTTTATAGGTTGTAATTTTAAATAAACATCACAAAAGATTTTTCAACTAATATGGAAAATTGGCTCAAAATGACACACTTTTAGGTAACTTATAAATTTATATGAAATAATGCGATTAAAAATGTTAGAAAAAGTGTAGTTATTAAGTATATTAACATTTTGTCATTTTAGTTGGAAGGTCTGTTAACGTGACGTACTTTAGTTATTTGCATTAAAATTATTATACAATATTACAAAAAATAAATTATGTTATAATATAACTTTACTCCAACACATCTAAATGTAAAATAATCTTCTAACATGTATTAAAATATCAATAACAAATTAATTAATTTAAAATGGTGGTAATAGTTCAGATAAGTTCTCATTCATTTTTAAAGTCAAAATTTTTTTTATTATTATTTTGATAACTATACCCATATTTGAATTTAGTTTTTCTTTTACAGTCAAATATCATTTTTAAAAAAAATAAAAAATTTTTTGAATTATAATGAAAACTTAATCAACTTGATAAAATTTGATAAAGATAGGAAAAACACAATAAGTTGACAAAAAGTAGATAATTTATTAATGAAATCTATCGTAAGGAATCCTTAAACATTACGGGAATGGCAACCCCGCGGATCTTGTAATTGGGGATGAAAACACGTACCATTGATCATACAATCAGTAAATTCTTATTTTTGGGATAGTTAGGCTACTTTTTTCGTTTTATAAATTAAACGTACAAATATTTGTAAAATTTTTTTTTAACCAAAATAGATTTCAAATAGATAACATTAGTTCAAGGATCTATATTGTATTATAATATTGAATAATAAATTGTTAATTATATGTACAAATAACAAAACTTTAGAGAATAATTTAGTAAGTCAAGAAATAGTTAAAAAAAAATTAATAATTAATAATACTGCAATAATTGAGAAATAAAATTTTAAATCTCTTAAAAAAATAAAGATGTGATACTTTGTTAAATAAAAGGAGGTAATAATTTAGGAATACAAGAGTCTTTGATTTAATTGACTATGCTTTTAACTTGTTACAATTATCATTTCATTGAAATTTTTATTAAAATTACCTTCTTAGAGTATATATTTTTTAATTTATCTCTAATAAGAATAAATAAAAATAAAATTTCATTATTATTTTTTGTTTTCAAAATTTCAAAATAGCTACTTTTTAGCATTTTTTTTTTATTTTATAAAATATTTTTCGATATGTTTCTGTATTGAAACGTCACTGAAAAAAGTAAGGTAAATTTGTAATAGAGTATTAGTAGAATATAATTTATGTCCTATTTAAATGCTTTTGTTTTTTAAATCTACATAGTCTAGCGTAACGGAATCGAATCACAGTGCCTTCGCATTGAAGGACGACGTGTTACCAAATGAGCTAGTCCACATAGCTAATTTTGAGTTATAATTACTAAAAGTATAGAACTTCAAAAATAATATAGAAACCTTGATTTTGGCGTATTATTTATATCAATGATGATATAGTATTAATATTAATATTATAATATAAATACTTTTGTAAAAGTATTTTGAACAAAATATTTTGAAATAATGAAATTGAGTTTATAATTTGATAATTGGAAATTTATCACGCGATTGCTAACATAAGTTTGAGATAATATATGCCTACATTTTCAAAATTTAAATAATTTAAAATTAATAAAAAAATTATTCAGTTTAAAATAAAATAAACTCTATACATATTTTAAACAAAATTTAAGTTTGTTACGAAGGTAACCGTACAAATTATATATTTATAACTGCTTCAAACCTCTACACAAACAAATGCGTTGCAAGGGAACTAATGCCAAAATGTCGTATCTGGTAATCTCAAAAAAACAGAGCGGGGGAAGTGATTTTATAACAATCTTTAACCAAAATATTCTTCCGTCATAAACTAACAAACAACGTATAAAAATATATCATAATATGATTTACTTTTATATTTTTTATTTTTATAAGGTATATATTATATACTCTATATTAAATTCTAATCATGTTACTTCACTGTTGAAGATTATGATTACAATTTTCACTATAAGTTAGAATATATTATATACAGTAATATATAATTATACATTAATTAAAAAAACAATTTAAGTTCAGGAAATTATTTTTTTTTTCATGGAATTCATTAGTAAAAACTTCTCATTAAAACAGTTTTTGATAGTATAAAATAACAAATATAATTATAAAAGTGTAAAGATTAATTTAAAATTATTAATAAATTATTTAAAATTTATCTTTCTGTTTTTAAAATACTCAATTAAACAATAATTCAATAATTTTAATTCAAAATATTAGATACATTTAAAATTTAAAAATTAATAATAAAATTATCCTTATTATTTTATGTGCTATTATTTGTATAACTTTAAACTTCTTAACTTATTTTTATAGTATCTGACTTAATATGAGTTCAACTTTAATCGAATGACTGGGTACAAGAAGAACATTTTATAAAAAAACCTATATTAGTATAAACGTATTTAAAGATTTAAATTTCGGTCATTTTTTTTGTTCTGTCTGTATGGTACGGTAAGATTAAATCTTAAAGAAAATAATCATATATTTTTTTTTATTAATAAAGTTATAAATAAATTATATTTTTGGTTATGAAAATGTATTAAGCAGTATTTACATTTTTATTTTAATATAACAGAATAAAAATAAAAATAGTATAGTGGAACAAAGTCAATAAAATACATTTCTCCATTTTCAAGTATTACTTTATAATATATTATATGTTAACTGTGTGGTCTTTAATTTTTTTTTATAATTTTTATATTTATATGTCATTTAAATAAAAAGTATTTATAAGACGTGAACACAAAACAACATGAACACGAGACTTACAAAAGTTTTTTAGTTTTTTGGCGACAAATAACATTAATAGTCAAATGTTACCTGAATAATTAGAGGGAAAATATAAAGAAATATGTGCTCTATATAAAAAAGGCATTTCTACGTTATTACATAAAACATTTTTGTGTGTGTAATTTATACGGTTTTCATAGAATATTTTACACACACACACATATATAGTAGAGAGGTCACTGAACCTAAAAATATATTTTAAGCAATAAGAACATTTCCGCTAAAATGCACCTTCTTGCACTCAGCCCTTATATTATACACCAAGAGAAAAACCTCGATCTATATAATAAATTCATTATTCAATTTGATAAATATATTATTACTATTGAACCTATGATATATTTATCAATATGATATTTTTTTTTCTTGTCTTGAACAATAATTATTTATAAGAATAGTTATTTTGTTCGTATTAATAAAACATTATCATAAACCCTTGATAAAATTTCTCTATCAATTTTGATTGAGGTTTTTCTTTGGGCGTATTATTATTATTATATATATATATATAATTGCATCCGTTAAATAAAATACTACGCAGTCGAATTATTGTACATATTGTACAAAATTATAAAAATGTTCAATTTACAATCAAGCGATAACTAATGACAGAAAATTGAACTATTTATGATTACCATCACACACATTAATTTAAAATTAGCGCAATTTATCCAAATAAAATAGATCGGAGTAATTTTCCAAGCTGCTCCCACCCAAATGATGCCACTGTTAGGAATGCATTAATTTTTTGATGAATGAATAAATGTGTAAATGTAAATATTAATGTATGAATTATGAATGTAAATGAATTCGTTTTATAAAAAAATAACCTTGTAATTTTAATCAAAATTAATTGTTTTATTATTAATCTCTAAACAATTACATTATTATTGATTTGCGATTTTTATCATATATTTTCCCATATAGTGTATTAAGGTAATCAAAACTCACATAATTTGTATCAATATAGATCTAGTCACACGGTATTACTAGGAAAATAACTCTTGTGTGACAATTGATGACTGATAAACAATTACTAAATTGTAACTGGTTAAATTTCAACATATTTTATTAATAGATTTTTCCATTCGAAACTAAAACAGTAAAAATAATTTATTAAATTTTGTTATTTTACTAATGTTTTATTAAGTAAGACTAAAAAATAGAAATAAATAAAAAATTATCTCAGACAAGTTCAATTTTTAAACTTTATTATTTATTAGAAACATGAGAAAATTTTATTTATTTACTATAATGTATTATTCTAGTAATTATGATTTATCTAACCTAAATATAGTTGCAAGGCAAGCTTTTATTTTTTTTATTTTTGTTATTTATTTTTAAAAAGCTGTTTAATTTATTTAATTTTTATATTTTATTAATCTAACTTTCATTGAACTTTATATAGACCAAATGTAACATCTTCCTACATTATAATATTTAGTTCATTTTAGAGATCTAATAATAGTGGCTAAAATTTAACGGGGAGGCGTTTTAACCATTAATTATAAGCTGTCAATTTAATAAATGTTTTATAAAAACATTTATTAACAATATTAACAACGTGCATGTATCTATTCTTTTTTAGTGAATGTAAACAATAACGAATTATTTTTGAAAAAAACTGATTTTTGAATACAAATGCATTCATTTTTTAGACGAATGTTCCAAACCTTATTCAAAATATTTAATAATCACTTTTACCATTTTTGTTTCATTAATATTTAGGTAAAAAAATGAGTTTACCTCGTTTTAGTGTCGATAATGCTTCGACTATTAACTTTTGGTTGACCCCACACAAATTTGGCATGAGTTTTTCGCATTTTCTGTGGCAATTGACGTCACAATCTAATTACGCACACATAAATAAACACACCCAAATTACCCTTAAAGTATTATAACTGTTGAAATGATTTCCTATATTTATTATTTGCTATTTAATTTTATCCTTATCAAAGTGACCAGCTCATTAAGATTTAAAAAGTAAATACCACAAAAAAAATGATTAAATTTAGTTAAATTAACATGTATAATTAATATTGTATTAGTTATAGGGTTTACCTATAGGATCGTGTACTAGTGTAGGTGAGGATGGCAAACCAGAATCGAACGAGCTTATACTACGCGGGATTTTTTTTTCACCATATTCATCTGTATCATAATAGTAGGTACTATCACTATTGCACAGCGATGAGGTTGTCGAAGATTGACTGCATTCATCGGACGAGGATTCTTCATTTGATGATGTTGTTTCCGTACAAACCTTAATGGGCAGCGATGACGATGGCTGTGGTGACGATGGTTCTAGTTTTACAGGCTTGGGCTTTGGTTTTTCTAATTTAGTTTTTGTGTTGCTCACCTGTGATGGCGAAATAAACGTTTTACCAAATGATGTGCAAACAAACGGAGTATTTACTGTTTTTTTAGAATTTTGCTTCACTTGTTGGTTTGAAACCAAAGTACTCTCGCTATTCTCTTTTTTGGGCATTTTTTTTTTAATCACTATTTTCTTTTTTTTCACAACTTTCTTTTTTTTCTTCAACGAACCGCTGCCGTCGTCTGTAGTGTTATCAACCTGTATTGTATTAGCATTTAACGTACACGCATGCGTTATTATGTTGTTACCGTCTGCATGCTGTGACTTAACTGGTACTACATTATGGTTAGCGTTGACTTTTTTACTGATTCCACTGGTCTGTTTCTTATTAAGCTTGAAAGTAAAACTTACAGGCTGATCCGATCCGTTCTCCGATTTTTTAACTAAACTTGATTTTTCCTCAATAATGACGTCATAGTTTAATGTCCAGTTAACGGACTTCTTACCAACATTTTCTGACGTCTTAGATGTTAATAGTTGGTTTTTTTTATCACAAGGTACAAAAATGTTTGCATCTGATCGACGTTTTGGTCGTCTTTTTACAACATCTAAATCTACGGGATAACTTTTACGTCTATCCTTTTGAACTTCCATTTCTTCCATAATCATTGTATCAAATAGAGCTTCTTGTTCACGAAGCATAACGTCAGTTACCGATGGTCGCCTATCATCAGTTATCGCCACTTTGACCCCTATAGACAGGTGTCGTTTGATAGTCCCCTTTTTAGCCATACCTCCAAATTCTTCAGATAAGACCAAAGATTCCGGAGTAGATTTTTTTGGACTTTCAACTTCTACTTCTATACTTGGTGGAGTTTTTTTGTTTTTTGTATGTAGCCGTACAACTGTACGACCCCTATGAATGTTACCACCTGCGTTGTCCTCGGATATTTTTGGATTTAATGACTGAAGTGGCCGGCGACGGGGAGTTGTGACGTCGATTTCTGCAGAATTAATATGTATTGGCCTTGCATAATGACGAGCTGTTATAGCTGCAGGAGTCCTTCGAATCGCCCTCAGCGTTTGTTCAGCTACTATTGAGTTATAGATTCTGGTTGGTTGTAATTGAGGAGTCCGGCTTACAGCACCAGAGTATGGTGACAGTTGGCTATAATATTGCGAAGAGAACGGAACGGACCGAGTAGGAAACCCGTAATCGGTAAAAAACGGCATCGTACAACTATTTTTATTATTTGATTATGTATATGTTTTTTGTGTATTAATGTAATTGAGTTAATGAATATAGTTTTAATTTAATGAAGTAAAAATTGCATTTCTACATAATAAGATAGTATAGCATTCACTGTTAGTTATAAATTTATTCAACAAATAATGACATACTTAGATAATTTTCAAAAAGAAGGGACGCATTTCGTTTACGCGAAACTGTAAATAGTTAAGTTTCACTAACAGTGTCACGATGTAAACTGAAGGAGTTTTCCGGCAGTCTTGAGCTATGTTTTGCTAGGATTAAAGTTTGGCAAGCATCGAAAGCGAATTAAACGTCTTGAACAATAGCCAAAAGAAATTTAAAACATTAAGACAAATAATTACTTGCATAAATATGTTCTGAAATAAAAAATTCAATTGCATACTGACAAGCGTTTTTATATTTGTATTGCTATAATTTAAGTTAAAAAAATATTACAGATCAAATTATAATTTCATCAATATGATAAATAATTTATTAACAGTAAGTTTTTTAAATTAAAACTTACAAATAAATGTAATGAATATAAATAATAGAAATTACATAAATAGATTTAAAATAAAATTCCAACAGATGTGCCATTTATAAAATTGTAAAGCAAAATGTATTTTACAAATTTTTAAAACAAAACGGTAGCACAGTGGGGTCGTGGCATATTGGAGACATTACATAGTTAGGTCCAGTATAGATTTAATCTGAAAGTGATTAAAATCACTATCATAAGAAACGCTTCGATGCAAATCTGTAGATAGTGTTTAATTTTAAAAAATTGATGGATAATTGCAAAATCAACATCAACTTCTATTAAAATAAAATACAAAACCCATAATTTTAATACAAAAATAGCATATTTTTGAATACGGCAGTCATTTGCGCATAGAAGATAGGTCGTAGGGACAAATTTTTTTTTTCATTTTGTAGTACATAAAATAAGCTTTAATTTTATATATGTTTAAAGGACCCAGTATTTCCGGAACATTTTCAAAAATTAAGTTGAATAAGTTAATTTTTGTAAAAAAGTTACTATTTTAAATCCCCCCTAATGAGCAGGTTAAGTGATAGATTTTCAAAAAAATGATATCAAATGAAAGGTAGATATCTAATTTTTTAGTATAAAAAAAATTATGTTGATTTGTTGATTTTTCAAAAAGTAATGGAAGTTTTAAAAAAAAAGAAGTGAAAAAATTTCGAAAATTAGTGATTTTTAAATTTGTAATTTTTTTGGATATTTCCCCCATTTGCGGGGAACGAGGGATTTTTTTTCAATTTTTAAGAGTAATGTCTTCAACTAGATACGATTTGTGATCTTTTGACGTATTTTCGAAAGAAATCGGTCCAATGAGAGCTGAGAAAAAGTGGCAACAGACATAAAAAAAAAAAAACACATCATAGTAAAATTAATACCTTCTCCGCTTCACATCGAAGCTAAAATAATTTTGTTGTTTCTTAATTATTATATAATAATTATCGATTTAATTTNCGAAGCTAAAATAATTTTGTTGTTTCTTAATTATTATATAATAATTATCGATTTAATTTGCATGTGTTCTTCCCGCATTCTCAAATTATCCAAAAGTTCTATTTAAAAAATACTGTTTAATTTAAATAGCCAGAAATATATTTGGTAATTTTTTCAATGTACACCAACAACTTATTCTAAGTTACAATTATTTAGCTACCTAAAATTAAACACGTCACTCGGCGCATATATAATCATAATGAGTGATCGACGCTCAAAAATACGGATCATATTGTCCTAGTGCAAAAATAGTCTTAACTCGTTTAGATTGAATCAAGGTCAACAAATATAATAATATTTATATATCTCTAAATATTTCATTTTTACAACACCAATAAAGCATATTTTTGCAATGCAATCAACAAATATTAATGAAGAAATGTAACAGGTGGCCACAGAGTAAAATAGTTTGATAAAGTACGTTTGTATTTAAACAGTACCAAGGTTGAAGTAATTCACTTTTTTTGAAAATAATTCACTATTGCCAAAGTATTAACGCAAGATCATTGTATATAAGCGCCAAAGCGCCCACATGAAATCCACTTATCAAGCAGCCTCGGCTGTTTGATACTTCAAATAGATCAAAAATTAATTTTGTTTACTATAGTTTGTATTGTTAATAGTATATTAGAGTTATTGTCGTTTTAATCTATAATCAAATATTTTAATTTACAACTATTGATTAATGGTAGAATAAGTATAATTCAAAAAACTTAAAGATTGTTTTACTACAGTTTTAAAAAAATGTGCCTGAATTTTTTAATGTTAAGGAAATCTTGAATAGTGATAAAAATGTTATTTCCGTATACGAAAATTTTGATACTTAATATCAAAATTACACTACATATGTGAAAATCATATTAAAAGTATCATACTGACATATGGGAATTTTTCGATCATTTTTAACAGTACTGTTTATAACTATTATACTTATAGAAATTACATTATAATTTTTCTGAATTATTATAACAATAATTATTATAAGATCAATTTTTAATCTTATTATGATAATTGATCTTATTTTCATATATCACAGTGTTTGAAATCTAAGAGATTGTGGAGGCGAAGGTTCTTTCATGTCTGTAAAAATAGTCTGTTTTAGCATACTAAGAGATTTTAATCTAGATGCCATTATAAATATTAATAAATTTAACATGTATAAAATCATTAAGACAATACTTATAAAATATACGTATGTAGATAAAAAAATCGAAGATTTTTAAGAATTTTTTCTTCAAATTTTTTATATTCTTTAAAATGATTTTTTTTTTTAAATTTTACTTAAAAATAATTTTTTCTTAATTAGCCAGTGTAAGCAAAGTTTTATTTATCTGAACTTATTCCAACCAGTTCCTCCAAAAAAAAAATTTGTTCACATTTCGTTCCTTTATTATTAAAAAATAAACAATTAAAAACCTGCTATTATTATATTATATTAAAATTATAATCATATTTTAAATTAAAAATTTATTTAGAATATTAATTTAAAAAACCAAAAAATATTTAACTTTAAAAACCACCAAAATGACTGAAAAAATTGTGTATACTAATTTTGGTAACAATGTTACTATAATCACCACAAAACACATACGTGTTTAGCGCTAGAAGATAAGACCTTGAAAGGAGCTAGGAGCCAATGTGTTTAACACATAGTAGTATAAGTTTAGTGCTGATAAGGGTAACATTGTTCCACAAATACATATGCACACGTTTTTTTTATTAATTTTTGTGTTTTTTTTTAGTTAAATATTTTTAATTTTAAATAATATTAGCCACAAATGATTAATTATTTTTATATGTTATAATCATATTTCAAAATTAAAGTATAAAACATATTTTAATTACCCTATGAATAGGTGCAATTTTTTAATAAAATGTTGGTAAGATCTAACTTAATTTTAAACCTCAAATTTTTTTATGTATTTTACATTTTTTTTTTTTTGATTGGCTACGACAAAATTAGGATGGCTAAACCTCTTTTATATCTCTCAAATTGCGCATATAATCCTGTACTCTCAAGATAATTCATTTTAGTGTAATAATTTATTTAACATCATTAAAATTTTTTTATTAATATCAGAGTAGTATATTAAATTTAATAATAAAAATATATTTAAAATATTAACTTAAAATAAAAAAATGTTTAACTCGAAAAGTCACATAAATTTTTTACAATAGCACCTCTTTATTGGATTGTCAATTTTTTATTGAGCTATAGGTTTAATCTTGTTTAAACCATGTATTAATAATACAACCCGAAGGTCATAAATTTAATACAATACCTCCCTAAGGAAACATTGAAATGTAATTAACATAATTTAGTTTTGAAAGAGCTGGCCACTTTTGAACTAACTATTAAATATTCAGTGGCACAATCAGAGAGGGATTATTATCTAATAGTAAACGAATTAATACTAATTAAATATTTTATAGTTTTTCAATAAAAACTTTATTAAATTAATAATATTAAATTTTTAGGAATCTTCTGTCTTTATTAGAATTTCAAAAGTTAAAGTTTTAGAGAACTGTAACCTATACCAAGTAAAAATTAACGAAATTTTTTTTTTCGGGTCATTAATAACAATAATAAATATTAGGGGAACAATAAATTCACTTAATAAAATGATTTTTATAACAATCAAACATCAATATAACGTCTCTAAATTTAACCTTATGAGGCTTAATTTGAGTTTAAAATAAGTTTCAATTCAAATCATAATATTATGTCTTCATAAAAACTATAACCAGGAAACAGTAACCATAACAGAATAAAAATATAATAAACCATTAAAAATCAAGATATTGAAAATGTTCAGAAATTAAAGTTAGATATAAGACAAATTTACTGTATTCTTATGTACAGAAAATGTAAAAGAAAACGCTATCTTTTCATGATTACTGTGTATACATATGATGATAATGTGTATACATTACAAACTTGGTATTAATACCATGATAAGAAATTAGATAAGGCAATTATTACTTATCACTCTCATTCAAAAGTATATTGAAAAGATAGCGTTTTCTTCTGTCCTTTTCTCAATACGTATTTCAATGTTTAATACCGTAAAATAATACATGAAAATTCAAATTTTCACAAACTTCAAAACGCTACAGAATATTTACTACTCAATATTAATAAGATATTTTTTTACTAAAATTTTTCTTAAATTCTACTCTACAAAATAGCTATCTTAGATTTATTTTTTACATTTTATTTAAAATTTAAAAATAATTAATATTTTTAATAAAATGTAAAAAAATTAATTATTGAGATATAGCTATAGACCTAACGTNTTAATAAAATGTAAAAAAAATTAATTATTGAGATATAGCTATAGATCTAACGTATAACTATTATTTAAAAAAAAAATCAGCTAAAAATATTAACTGGATCAAAAGTTATTTAAGTTGTCAGTGAGTGATGGGCCACTCTGTATATATATAAATTTGATACACTCACATTTTGTATTTGAAAATTATTTTTATTATTTTGGAATGTACTCCTAGTTATGTAATAAATTACAACACTGAATATTTATATTTGAAAAATTAATTTTTATATTAAAATATGGTATTTTAGAGTAATTTTTATCTCTCAAAATCCTTAAATAATCAAAACTGCATACATTTTATAATTTAGATTCATTAATCATTTGTTTAGACTGGGGTATTCATCTATGGTTCTTTCTTTTATGTATAATAAAAATAATTTAAATTTATCTAGTCGTGTTTCTGATGACTTATATACAACATAAAAGTCAAAAGTTAGGTTGTTTCGAAATTTTTATAATAACTAATAAGTTGATCTTTATCGTAA